TCCCCATTCTTGAGATACTTTAGTAAGAAGAATGTGTTCCAACTCCATCCAGGTAAATGTAAAAGATGTAAAGTCTCTGTCTTTTCTTATGGCTGAATTGTATTCTATGGCGTACATATACTACAATTTGATCCTTTTCCTATTTCATTGTAATAGATAGTTGAGTACATGGCTACCCAGAATAAATAACCACTTCTCAGCTTTGCAAGGAGCTGGTTCTGCCCAGTGAGAAGGTAGCAGAGTAATACATGCAATTTCTGGGACATGTTCTCATAGGGAAGGGATGTCTTCTTCCCTTCCCCTTTCTTCCCTCCTGCTGGCCAGACATGGACATAGTGGTCAGCCATCTTGGACCATAGTTGACAGCAACACCCACCGGATGGTAAGGAAACCATGTAGACGAAATTTGAACCCCTGGGATTTTGCAGAGCAAAGTTGTTATATCAGCTCAGACCTGCTTATCTTCTTTAAGCCATTGTTATTTCAGGTATCTGCCACAGCACCTGAACTTACCTAGTCTGATACGAAATTTGGTACCAGAGAGGGAGGTTGCTACCCTAATAGAGCCTAAAATACAAGCATATGGCTTGGCAGTCAGGTAATGGGTGCCCAGCACATACGTTTCACACTGGAAGGCTGATGGACAGTGTTATGCTATACAATAGGACAAAACATTTCGTAAAACTGTCACTTGTGATATCCTGCAGGCAGACTATATGCCCATAGAACCCATAACAGAGTCTTACTCTATTGCCCTGGGTAAAGTGCTGTGGCATCATAGTTCACAGCAACCTCAAATTCTGGGGCTCAAGTGATCCTCTTGCCCCAGCCTCCTGAGTAACTGGGACTACAGGCACCTGCCACAATGACTGACTAGTCTTTCCTATTCTTTTTTTTTTTTTTTTTTTTTTTTTAGAAAAAACCCCAAGCTGCCGCCACCTTAGGTATATGTGGCTGGCGCCTTAGCCACATGAGCCACAGGCACCAAGCCATTTTCTCTATTCTTAATAGAGATTGGGGTCTCACTCTTGCCCAGGCTGATCTCCAACTCCTGAGCTCAGGCAATCCCCTTGGCCTCCCACAGTGCTGGGTGGGATTACAGGCCTGTTCATCGTTTCTTGTCACTTTCAGGAAAGCCCTAGGAAAAAGATAAGGTCACATTGGAGCTATCTCATCAGCAGGTAGAGATGAAGGGCAGTTACTTCTTCCAACTAGAGGCACTGCCTGTGGCCTCAGGGGCTAGAATGCAGAGCTGGCAAGGTTGAAAAAGTAGAAGCAAATAGAAAAGGTAGTTCTTTTTTGTTGTTGCTGAGATAGACACTGAAGAAGCCCTTCCTCAATCACATACTTCTTGGTTAGACAAGAGGAACCATCTTAGCCATAACGATCAAATAAAGGGCTAGGTCTGGTGGCTCACGCCTGTAATCCTAACACTCTGGGAGACTGAGGTGGGTGGACTGCTTGAGCTTAAAGGAGTTCAAGACCAGCCTGAGCAAGAGCAAGACCCCATCTCTACTAAAAATAGAAAGACTAGCCAGGTGTGGTGGCAGGTGTGTATATTCCCAGCTACTTGGGAGGCTGAGGCAGGAAGATCACTTGACCCCAAGAGTTTGAGGTTGCTGTGAGCTATGACGCCATGGTACTCTACCCAGGGTGACAGCTAGAGACTGTCTCAAAAAAAAAAAAAGATCAGATAAAGGGCATTGTCTTCACAGCAGCACCTCTATAAACTGACCACCCAAGGGACTATTAATAAACTGATCAACAAATGGAGGTGGTCAACATAAAGAACTAGACCTACCATACTGATATGTACATGTGGTGCATGTCCAGTCTTTGAAAATTAGTCAACTTAAAGAGGTGGTCAGTGTAGGTAGGTGGTCAGCTATGGACGTTCTACTGGATTTCAGATAGTCTCAGGGTAAACATCATTAAATTTAGAGAGCTAAATAGCTAGGGCATGGAAGCAGAAAATAAAAAACCAGAGTTGTCAGGCTTAAAAACTTTTTTTTTTTTAAGAGACAGAGTCTCACTTTATCACTCTCAGTAGAGTATGGTGGTGTCACAGCTCACAGCAACCTCCAGCTCTTAGGGTTAGGTGATTCTTTTGCCTCAGCCTCCCGAGTAGCTGGGACTACAGGCACCTGCCACAGTGCCCGACTATTTTTTTTGCAGTTTGGCTGGGGCCAGGTTTGAACCTGCCACCCTTGGTATATGGGGCCAACACCCTACCCACTGAGCCAGAAGTGCAGCCCAAAAAACTTTGTTTTGTCTTTTTTGTTTTGTTTTTTGCAGTTTTTGGCCAGGGCTGGGTTTGAACCCACCAGCTTGGGTGTATGTGGCTGGCACCTTAGCCGTTTGAGCCACAGGTGCCGAGCCTCCTCATCTTTCCTTTTCAGATAAGAGTTTCCTTTGTATATTGAATGTTGTACCTATGGCATGGATGGCTGTTCATAAAATTCTAGATCATGAGAAGCAACAGGCAGACCCGTTAGACAGAAGGGCACATTATCCAGAGGTAATGGACTTCAAGCAGGATCCAAGAACTAAGTGGTACAGAAAGAATACATTCTACATATTAAAAGAAAAGCTTAGGATACTTGAGTGGCCAAAAAGATAGAATAGAATGGCAATTACACTGTATTCCAGTATCTTTTACCTCTTCTCTCTCAAATTAATTTTCAGCCAGTACCTGGCCTCACTAAATAAAGACTATGCTTGCCACTTTCCCTTGCAGGGGTATATAGACACCCAACCAAGTTCTGGCCAATGGCACATGACTAGAAGTGACCTATGCAACTCTCCTTTCTCCCACACAGCCTAGTAGGGAGAGTTAGTACAAAAATAATTCTCTCTGTACAAGAAAAAAAGTTAGTACAAAAATAATTTTCTGAAATAGGACAGGAAGAAAAAACTGTCACAGATCTACATGCAACAGTAATCTTGTTACAAAATGGCCCACTCGTCCTTAAGCTTGATTCAAAGTACTTTAAAAAGTAAATATGAAAATAAACTTATTAGTCTTAGCAATAAAATTCTTTACGCCAGATTCTCCAACCATGCCACAAACAACTCTTTCCCCGTATTGACTTTACTCTTCCCGTTACCACATAACGTTGTACCCTTGGCCTGCAGTTCTAACTCCATACTGAATTTTCAGATTTCCCCAAGTACCTCCCAATAGAATGAGTTCATTGCTAGTGAGGGAGTGGTAAGGAGGGAAGTGGAAGGAGGCTATCTCTAAAATCAAACCAGCCTAAAGCTCCCAAGATGATTCTGATACAGTCTTGCAGGTGAGAACCATCGGCCCAGGCTTTTCCGAAGCAAGGTTTAGTTCTAAACTGCAAGGCTGTTAACAGGAACCCAATTGAGACCTCGTTTGAGGAAAAACCTCAAACAAGAGCACAATAATTTCGCACTAAGCACACACCTGAACCATCTCAAGTGAAGAAAAGACTGTCAATGTGTCCTGCACATACAAACACCCCTATGGAACAAGGTGAAACGGTGGCCCTGGACCTCCTGCTGGAGAATGATGGAGGGTGCCTGATAAAAATGCACATCCTGAACCTCATTTCAGATCACTGAATTAAAATCTGTGAGGAAAAGGAGGGAAGGCGGCCTGGAAACCGGCATTTTGAACATTTAAATCACTTTGCACATTTAAGTTTAAGAACAATTGACATATAAAATTCTGGACACTCAATCTGCAAAGTGAAATAAAGTATCTATATAGTCTTACCTAATTCAAGGAATTAACAATCTAGTTGGCCAAAATACCTTCCCTAAGGAAAGCCCAATACATTCAAGAGGGAGAGAGATGAGGTTTACTCCAAATGCCCCCTGAGGTGAAGAGCAAGGTATGCAGGTCTCAGTGTGTGATGCAAGACTCAAAATTCAAAGGTCAGGAGCTTAGATGATGAAGGGATCTTCAAAGTTAATCTAAGAGCTGAATCAAGGATGCCAAATGGTTTTCCTCTAATAATCAAATCTGTATTCACCTTCTACTCTGTGAAGATGAATAATGATACAGTAATTTTAGAGCATAACCAACATGTCGCTGTAGCATGCAACAGGGGTTCCAAAAACTGATATTTGTGACTGCTTATCCAGTGAAACCACCAGCAATATGGTTCTAAATTTAACAGGAGTTGTAAACCCTGAAATTAAAATAACAGGCTAGCTAGGTCGAAGAGACAAATGCATAATGAACGCCATGCAGCAGTCCAAGATAGCGAAAGAACTGCCCGCTTCTCCCAGGCAGCAAAGTCTTGGCCACCACGTCTGCTCACGCTCAAGTCTCACAGATGGCCCTGGAAATGTATCCTTGGGTTAGGTTAACTCAAGGAGCTGGGAGCTCTTGGGATGTAACTTTTCCCACCGCCTCGTCTCCGCAACCAGCTGAGTTCCCACATGTTCACAACCAAAGAATAAAACAGGCCGGGATTTCAAAACCAGGTCCGAACTAGCAAGACGCGAGACCAAGCAGGCGTGGAAGTAAGGAACCCCAGCCCCTGAGGGTGGAAGGAGGGTGACCCCCACGCTGACAACACCCACGCCCGCCTGGCTCTGCCCAGCTCCCCTCTTCCATCCTCGACAGCCCGCGCCCAGCAGCACCCCCTGCACGCCAGGCCAGCAGAAGCCCGCCTGCCAGCCCCGACCTGCACCGCCCGAGCTCGTCCCCAACAGAAGCCCGCGTGCCAACCCCGACCTGCGCTGCCCGAGCTCGGTCCCGACCTGGGGAGCGCGCCAGGCCCACCCCGGGCTCTTGGCCCTCGGGCTTCCTTGGCCGGTAGCCGTAGACGCCGCGCTCGGTCTGGTAGCCGCGCCGGAGGAGGAGACGGGGAGCACGGCCGAGACCGCGTCGTGCTGCTGCCACCGAGGCCGAAGCCATGTCTACTCTGGCCCGCGGGCCTGGAGAAAACCTCAGTCTGGCCGTAGCCGGGGCCGGGAGGTCCCGAACGCGCCACCGGCGAGGGCGGAGCCCCACCTCCGGACGACGCCCCCGCGCCTGATTGGCCGAGGGGCCAGTCCCTCAGAACCAATCCAAGGCAGCAGCCCTTGAGGAGAAGCCACGCCCCTCACCGGGGAGGGATTCCTGGGCGATCCCAGGGATTCCACAGCCCGGCTTTGAGTAAACCGAGCGCAATCGACTCTATAAGAAACTGGTTATAGCCGTGGAGCTCAGTTTCCCGCCAAGAGTATTCATCCACCTCTCTGCTGGAGGCCTCCGAACCCAACCACACAGACCCGATCTAGGTTGTCACACAGAAAGGACAAATTAGCCACAGGGTGGACCGAAAGAATCTGGGACTGAAACCAAGGGATGTAGGAAGGAAAGCTAGAAAATCAAAATTGACACTTTTTAAAAGAAACAATGGGAGAGAAAGAAGCAGCTAGTGGAGAGAGAGACATGAGGAAAGGGTTAGAAAAGAAGTCAAAAGAAATTGGACATGGACGATTGCAGCAGTGTAGAGATAGTTGAGATTCTCGGTTTGTCTGAGTTTTCTAAATGACTTTATCCCATGATTTAACCTTTCTCTTTCCAGTATAGGGAGAAGGGGGTGGGGCAGGAATGTCTGTCTGCCTTCTTCCCTGGTCTCTCATCCTTTATTCCCCAAAGTCCCGGGAATGTTATACGTACGAGCCCAAGATATCCTCCTTCCTCCTTCCTGCAGCCAATATTCCCACAGAATACTCAGTTGGGTTACAAAGGTTAACAAGGTACAGTGTTTGCCCTTAATCAGTTCCTTGTAGTCAGCTGCAGACTGACCCCAGACACAGTATGACAGATGCTGTGATCAGCCACTTGCATTGTGCTGCAAGCTCAGAGGAGGATGAAACAGCCCTTTATAAGGAGCGACAAAGGGCTCGGCGCCTGTGGCTCAAGTGGCTAAGGCGCCAGCCACATACACCTAAGGTAGCGGGTTCGAATCCAGCCCGCCCACCAAGCAACAATGATGGCTGCAACCAAAAGTTGTGGTGGGCGCCTGTAGTTCCAGCTACTTGGGAGCCTGAGGCAGGAGGAGTTGGAGGTTGCTGTGAGCTGTGATGCCACAGCACTCTACCCAGGGCGACAGCTTGAGGCTCTGTCTCAAGAAAAATAAAAATAAAGGGTGACAAGGTGGGAGAAAAATACATATAACCAACCATGGTTCCCTAGCTTGCTTTCCTATAATTGCTTACTACTCAGGTTCACACAGCTAATGGTCCTAAAGATTCTTAGCTCTTTTCATTGCTCCCATAGATAACACCGCCTAGGCTAGGCTTTGAGATAGCGTTAAGGCCATGCATTCCAGTGGAACTGCTAACCCACCCAAGCCCATATGAAGGGACTGACTTAACTGGTTTTGTGATCTGCACCCAAGAACTGATTCAACAAAAAAGGACAATTTCTATTCCCTTATGGTTCTGCCCCAAACCCAGTCAATCAGCAGACCCAACTGCCTAGCCTTTGCACACCAAACTATAATTAAAAACCTTTTCTCCCAAATTCTTGGGGAGACACATTTAAGAACTTCCTCCCATCTCCTTGCATAGCCCCTGTGATATTAAACTCTTTTTCTGCTATAAATAACCCCTGTTGTCTTGAGCAGTGGGCAATGAACCTGGTAAGGCTGTAACAGAAACATCCAGCAGAAATGAGGGTGTCAGGGGAAACTCCAAGTGGAAGGGACACTTAGAACAGAATCTAGAGGGATGAGGAGTTAGGCAAATGCACAGAGAGGACAGACAGCATGCCAAGGAGAGGGAAGGCCACGGGTACAGAAGCTCAAGACAGTCTTCAAAGCACAGCATGTGTTTCCAGAGGACTGGAATGTGTTAAGAGAAGGCAGTGAAGGGTAGACATGGGATAACTGGCTGATTCAAAGATTTTTGAGGGCGGCACCTGTGGCTCAAGGAGTGGGGTGCCAGCCCCATATGCAGGTTCAAGGGGTGGTGGGTTCAAGCCTGGCCCCGGCCAAAACT